TAAGGGTTCCCCGAAAACACTTTCTAGATCTAGGGGTTCCGTGAGTTGCAAAAGTTTGAAGACCACTGATCTGGACAATTGTTCATGATCCATGATCTTTCTTTGTTAGGGATAATTTTTATTTAAAATACTACAATGAAAGTCTCTTTAGAAAATTAATAATTTCTATTCTCATAAAATGAGTAATCTCTACAAAATGTACAAAATGTCGACATCAAAGAAAAGTATCAATGTATTCAAAAGAAGGAAAAGTGTCAATTGCAGACGAATAGGCATTGAGTATATACTAAGAAACTGATAAAGAGCATTGATACGAATATTTTTAATATCAATTCCTTTAAATAAAATTATTTTTTAAGAAGTTTAAAAAATATTAATTTGGTGCATGCATGAAATAAGGTAAATCAAAAAGAATTTGATTGCTTCTTTCAATACTTAGTAGATTAACTCATTGAATAAAAAACGCGAAAGATAAAACAGGAGCCATAATAATTCACTCAAAGAAAAAAATCAGCTGCCAACATAAACCATAAACTGCTACATAAATATGTTGGTGTTGATAAGACTGTGGACATGATAAAAATAAAATCTGAAAAGAAAACTTAAAAAAATTATCACACTCACCTATCACTCATTTTCAGGATAGTAGATAATGAAACTTCCACGTATGTACCTACATCACCTATTTGATAAGAAATTGTAACAAGAGATAGGGTGAATGCAAAGCTAATTACACTTTACTTTATCACTTTTTTTTCATAAGTAAGCAGAGATTTAAAGGAACATTTCTTTAAAAAGACCTATAACTGTTTGATAAACATAGAAAATCCTTTTCACTTTAAAAATTTTATTTTTGAAAACAAATTTATAATAAGCTTTACTTATTATCTTTATGTAATAGATATTATGGCTTGGCAATCAAAGAAATACAATTACAATATCTGCATATTTTAAAACACATTCAAATATAATGTGAAAAAAAAGAAATGAAAATATTTTTAGCAGGCTGATACTTACACCTATTTCGTCTAAGAGGAAATGTTCATTGGTTGCTTTATGTGATATTACTGTCATTAATTATTTACTTGGTAATCATTGATTAAAATCAAAGCATTTATTTTTAAGTCGTATTTGCGAGATGTAAGACAGCAACGAAAATTCTATATGCTTCTAAGAAGTACAAAAAAAAATTATCATAAAAAGCATAATGTTATTCAGATATAAAAGGTATGTTTAGTATCAAATGACGAAAACATTATTAATAAATTTGATTTGACTCAGGATTAATTTTTAAGACCTTAATTATGTTAAAATACAGTCGACTCTCGATAATTCGAAGTTGGAGGGACCATTGAAAAACTTCGAACTATCAAAAGTTCGAATTATCAAGAGGATAGAAAAAAATTCCCAAAACACAAGAAGAGAAATTTTTTTCCAACACATTTAAATTTGTGTTGTGTTGTATTGCTTCTTATGCCACCTGTCTGACGTAGTCAGATCGAGGTCCACGAAATTAATCATGGCATTGGGCTATATTGTACGCCTGTCGTTAGCCGTAGCTTTGAGCACCATTCAGGTGACAGTACGATTTGGCTCGGTTCCACCCTAATTTTGAGAGAGAGGTCAGGGGCATCCCACCTCTCTTCCCCTTCCACCAACCTCACGAGAGGACTTGCTGCTGGATGGCTATTTAGAAGAGAGTACCCCCATTCCGCGAAGGCACTATACATTTACAAACATCCATGTCTTCTCCGATATTCGAACCCAGGCCCTACGGCACAGCAGTCAATGTCGCTAACCACTATACAGAATTATAGCGCGTTGTAGTCAGGCCAGCCACAGATTTTACTTCAAAATATTGAGTGTACAAAATGTATTGTTTTAGTTCGAAATATCAAGAGTTTTTTTCTAGGGACTGAGCATATACTTCGAATTATCGAGAGGTTCGTATTATCGAAGGTTTGAATTATCGAAAGTCGACTGTACTAACAAATAATGTCCTATATAATAAATCCAACTCCCAAGAAAGCTCGAATACAATGCATTTTATTTGAACATAAATGAGTCATCGAAACATCAACAAGTACAGGGACGTCTTAAGGCATGGGCCAGCTGGGCCCGGGCCCAGGGCCTCGACTTCAAAGGGAGCTTCACCCGTTTTTCGATTCTGAGCTTCAATAATATCATTACCCAAGAAATTTTAACTGTCAAATGTTATTCCCGGACATATTCTCCAAAAAATTGGGAATTTTGTATTACATGCCAAATCCCAGCAGTGACAAGACTGTGTTTTTATGTTATGACTATTGTCTCTGTCGTTAGCGCTTAACAGAGTCGATTTGTGCCTGGGTTTGTGAGATTGTAAGTCATGCACATTTATTTGTTAGGGGTTACCTTTTGTACTAGTATTTGACAACGCATGCTATATTTTCGACTGTAAAGAGTCGCAGGGGGGCTACTTTTACATTGGCCTAGGGTCTCAAGAAGTTTTAAGAAGTCGCTGAACAAGTATGACTATTTACCCCGCTTAAAAATAAACACCATAAGCTTAGAAATTAAATTTCCAAGAATGAAAATAAATAACTTTGTAATTAACTCATTAATTTTAATGTACTTTTTAAATAAAAAATTTTCAACGAAAAAATGCATTGTTAAAGTTTAAAATAAATTAGTGTTTTGAATATATGAAAATATTTCTCCTAAGGCATTTTACTGAGAGAATAATTTGTCTGTTTGCAGTAGTTAAAGGACTGTGGAGACTTTTGATATTTTAGTTACACATTTTGGCGATCAAAAACATAGCGGGACAACATGAACAACGCAAACGCGCATGAGCAATACAAGTGACAAAAGCGTTCTTTGTATCTCAGCTTTTATAGTTTTTCTCAACTAGAAGCTAATAGAATCTCTTATGATTTTCAAAAAAAAAAAAAAACTATTATGATTAGTCAGAATACGCAGATGATGCAATATTGCATCTTGTTTCAAAAAGAGCGAATGCAGCAGTTTTTAGGAGATAAAGTTCTTGTGTTTCCGATACATTTCCTTAGGATATGATTAACGATATATTTCCCACTCTCTCTCTCTCTCTAACCGGGTAAACTAAAAAAATATCACGAGAAGTCTTGGAGGACTTAAAATTATTATGAATTAAATAAAATTTCTCGAGAGAAAGTTTAAGTAAATATTATTACATTTATATATTTATAATAAGGATTATAAAAACATTATAAGTAAATCATTTGGAGAAAGTCTCTCTTTATAAAAGATTCCTCCCCCTCTCCTTTTATATGTGCGTAATTACTTTATAACATGCATAATAAAAGAAAAATATTACTTACCACTAAATTCAGTTTCATAATATCTACTAATATCTTACTCTCTAATTAAGCAAACAAAAACTGTATTCAGAATGTTATATTATTCCTGTTCTTCTTTTTCTGCAAGATCTGAATAACACTTATTTAAAAAAAATCAATTACGTCTCAAAGGAATTTAATTATCCTTAATAGTCTTTGCGCTTGATTAATTTTGTGCTTAAGTAAAAGCAGTAACATATCGAAGATTAAATATATTTCCAAGAATTTCGGAAACATTTCATTATATTCAGATTTAATTTTCGGCGTATTCAAATGGTATTGGTAAATATATTAACAAAGGGCTTTTATATAATTATCATTTTACTTTCTCCAGGGACTCTTTAACTTATTTTTAAAATGTACAAAATATATGCATTTTAATTTAGTCGTATTCTTTTGTTCGTTTCCTTTGATTAGTTGAAGTCTCCATGATAATGATTCATTTATGAATCGCTAGACATAAGATAGAAAAAATCTGAAAGGAAGATACGGAAGCTCATTAAATTGATTTAAGCTTTAGAAGATCACTCTTCATGATGAAAAGAAATAGCATTATTAGAAAGAAAATTAGTGAGTAATTGCTTATACTCTTAGAGAAGTTTATTTTTAGAATAAAACTTCATTTGTGTATTCATACTTTATAGGCCTTTCCGTTTAAAAGAAATGTATATTTTTGATTAAAATTCAATATCATTTTTCAATTCCTACTATTAGTTCATACTCTCTCCCTATATATATATATATATATATATATATATATATATATATATATTGCTACGTAGATCGGGGTTCGAGGATTTTATGCAAAATCAGTCGTAAATAACAAGGCAATTCTTTAAGAGCGATGAGTATTTATTGTCGAAAATCAAACCTTGAAATACAGGATTCAGCAGCCAAATTCACAGAATAAATAACAGAAGGATTTCACACCTTCAACAGCACTCAGACACAATAAGCAGTGTCTAAAATACACGTATGTAAATGACTATTTACAAGCACAGCCAAGCTAATCAAGTTCAAGGCAAGTCTACTAATCGCTAATCAAAACAATGCTCACTACTCGCTGGTTGAAATCAGACTGACTGTTGCGGCGAGTATTGCTCTATTTATAGCCGGGGCCGAAACTTCTGGAAAGAAATTAGTGGATTTCTCTACTAATTTCTAGAAGAATCCAGAGGGTCCCAAACTCGCCAACATGGTCGCCAAAGTTGCCAAAAATGATACCAACTTGGCTCTATCGCCAATATTTCGCCAAGTTCCCATCGAATCGCCATTATAACGTAAGGGATGGCGTTGCTTGTGAATATTACAATTTTAACATGAAATAAATATAGCATAGAGTAATATAAATGCATTGCACATCCAAATACAAATTATTTACATTATTTTATACAAAATTCGTAACAATATATATATATATAATCTTATTCAAATTTTCAATCGTTAATAAAATACTTTCTATTCATCGATTCAAGTTCAAATACATTTTTTAAACCTTGTATTGGATGAGACTTAATGTTTATACAATTTTTTCAAATATTAATTCACAAATTAAATTAAAAAATAAATAAATAATAACAAACACACAAAAATAATAGTCCAACAGCATATATAGAAAGGAAAGTTGTTCGTTGTGTCCCTGTAGCGCAATGGATAGCGCGTTGGATTTCTAATCCAAAAGTCGTTGGTTCAAACCTGAAATTCCCTAATTTCCGAGAATGTGATTTTTTTTCCTTATGCTATTTTATTAGAATAATTAAATTTAATTAATGAATAAATAGTAATAAGCAAATAAAAATAGTCCAAAACCATACATAGAAAGGAAATTGAAATTTCTTTCTATTTTATCATTTAATATTGTGATTCTGTCATATGTAATTTATATTTATTGTAACTATTTAATAAAAAGTAACTAAAATAAAATGTTTCTTTGTTGACCTGAGTAGGAATTGACTTATTTTTTTTTATATTACTGTTTTTCATTTTAGTTTACTTAAGCTAATTTTTATCTTTTCAAGTTCACCAGTTTCATAAAATGAAGTTTTTTCATATAATTGTTTTTGTATTGGACTTGTGTTTGTTAACAAAAAGTCGGGGAGGGGGGGGGGGACAAAGGTAATAAAAACGATAATTCGAGTCTGCAAGGTTTTCCTAATACAAATAATTTTTAAAAGCAGTTTTATATGATTTATATTTTATTTTATCATCGTTTATTTAAATAATCAACAGATTTGTAAAATCGAATGTATTTTGAGTTTAAGAATCATAACGGAATGACAAATTAATTTTTTCTACTGCTAAGAAAGTAAATAGCACTTAATTATCGGTACTAAACTGTATCATAAAAAAGAAATTCTTTTTTTTATTTTTTCTGTGAAAATAATAAAAATGTAGCAATTATCGAAAAAAAATCACTTTTTACAGCTGTATTGTGAAAAGGAACAATCCACTCATTTTATTAGTCTTTATATTCGGTACTTTTCCTTTTCTCTCTCAAGTGACTAACATAAAATTCTTTTTTAAAAAATGTGTTTTTTGGGAAATTAAGACATTATTTTTTAATCTGATAGCGAAATATCAGAATGACAGTTTAGTTCTTTTATTTCATTTAGATAAGCACATTTGAAGGATTTTTTATTAATATTATGATAACATAATACACACAGAAAAATTAATAAATATAGCAATATTAGAGAGTATATAAGAAAATTGCTGTCCGAGTATAGTATGATAGCAATCTATAAAGATCCTTTTTCATTATGTGATTGAAAGCTTTTGTTTTTTTAGATATCCTGGTTAAAGTTTATTGACCTTTATTTTCAGATTTTGAAGCTCATAAATTTTTTTTTAAACAAGGTACTAAAAATTTATTATTTGCACCATATATTTCATTGTTACTTTTTAGTGAAGGAAACATCACGAGTTTGCCAATATAGTTTTACACATTTACATTTATCGCATGATCAGTTTTCAATTAAAAATTTTTGTATTTTAAATTTAGAAACCCTTTAATATAATTAATGAGAATATATATCAAATGTTCTTTTCTTTGAAGTATAAAGTGTGATTAAGCCAGTGTTTTTTTCTTACAAGAACAAAAAAGCAATTGCAATTTCTCATTGATTTTAGTTGGAAGAATTAGAATTTTTTATAGCTTTTTATACATCATGTTACAATTATCTCTTTAAAAGTAAGACGAATTCACATAAAATGAAAAGTCCTTCATTTCTTCAAAACCATTTTTAAAGGTTCTCAACAATTTAGTTTATGAAATACGTAGTTTTCTAAAAGGAAAATAAGAAAAGACTAATATTGATGATCATATAAACATGTACTAAATTGCATATATTTAATTGTCTGTATACTTTTCATAATTTGGTATTGATCCTTCAGTAATGTATTTTACGAAAGTATTTTTAGCGCGTTTTTCACGTAGTGGAACAAAAGCGCTATTAGGACGCAAATTTCGTCTTCGTTCCATATTTTGTCGTACCTTTTTCTCAGCCAATAAGCTACCAATTGACCTCGGGTTTTCGGCATTGGGTCGCATTTGTGCCCTAGATGAGCCGAATCATATTTAAATTTTCCCATAGTTTTCCCGAATTTTCCTACAAATTTTCCTGAATTTCGCTAGTTTATAACAAAATTTTCTCAAATTTTACCTAGTTGCTTTTTTATAGAGCTGATACAGATTTGTGTCATTTCTTTTTAGCTCAATAGTAGTACATTTAGAGGAGTGGTACAGTACTACTTTCTGTTAGTAAAAAGTTCATAGATGAATTATTGTAAAATACATGTGAAAAACGCGCTAAAATTACTTGGCATGCCAATGATTGATATCTTGTTTCTTTTAAAAAAGATAAAAATTGTTAACAGGATGTATTGTTACTGATTGTTAACTATTTTGTACAGCGTTTCTGCCTAAATCTAATAAATCTGATAACTATTTTTAACGAAATAGGAACACGTACTATTATACTTTTTTTCACACTTTTATCTTTAAATTATCGTTTTATAAATGAGCATGAATCTTAGGATATAAAACAGTGTACATTAAAATCGCAAATTACAACGCGAGTCTTCAAATAGTACTCGTATTTTATAAAGTTTTTAATATTTTAATAAAATAATTATTTTAATTGAAATTTTTTACTGTGCTTAGAGTAATGAAAGTTACCTTTTGCTATTAAAACAACCGTATAAAATTATAAAAACAATAAAAATGATAAAATTATAAAAATGATACAAACTAGGCAGCTATAATCGACTGGCATTGCTGTGATGGCATCAGTGAACCTGGCTATCCATGATCTAATACCACTACCGGCAAACGTCATTTGCAATTGTATTTTCGGCTATGATGGAAGATTTTGCTAGTAATGAAAGGGCAGACTTACAAGTGGTTATTAAAATAATGGAATCACGTTAGATTTATAGGGAATCCTTTATTAGCATGGTAGATGACCCTCTTTGGCATGTAATACAGCTTGAAATCGATTCATACTAGTTCTGAGTAGTGTTTATAGGAATATTGTGCCGCTCTTTATGATGATATTGTCAAAGAGTTCTGGATGAGTGAGTGAATATTAACGTCGCACTATTCAACTACTCTAGGGTAGAAAACCACGACTCGGCTGCCCTTATATTACCTCTATGTTGGATAGTTGGAAGGAAACAATCACTATCATTCACTTGTGCAGGGGTCTTCCAAATGTGCCCCCGTCCTGTTGCAGGAAATAGTGGGAAAGACGATATATTCGTTAGACCATATTACTTTCTTCCATGTATCAATAGACCAGGTTTTGGATACCACTGTAGACGACGTTTGGAATTAACACCTGTGACAAGTGGCTTAGGAATTGAGGCTCTGCCGTAAATGTTCTGTTTTTGAAGGTACCTTTTAACTGTTATCACTAACACTGAAGAATTCAAATGGTGATTGAACTTAACGGTCCCTTTTACTGCAGTTGTTTGCTATTTAGACATTACAATCCGCTTCAATACCCGTCGGTCTCTTTCACCGAGCTGCTCTTTACTTCTACTATTTTGCTTCACCGAGCTTGTCTTGCCCGCTGTGTGTATGGTGTCATGATTTTAGACACAGTCCCTCCAGAAACGTCTAAAAAAGTTGGGATGTTTCGGTCACACTTGCTTTTTCTAGATGGGCTCCTACAATGAAATCCTCTTTGAAAATCTGAAAGGTCCGATACTTGAAGCTTTTGAAAAAAAATCCAAGGCTTACAGATCTTTAATAAAGCTAGTACATGCTACCAGACTATATACATTTCTATTTATAAAAAAAACTGGTTGCTATTGTTGTATTTTAATGCTTATGAGGAGCATTCAAAAATGTTACTTTTATTGACGGTTATTTTCATTATTTTGATAATCACCTGCATATCTAATGTACAGTGCTGCTAATGGGAACGGTAGTGCAGCGTTACGTTTGTATGAGGAACGTTTTCGAACAGGTTCCTGCAGAACCATAGAAATGATTGAGGGTTACATCGGCAACATTTTGAAAATGGTTCTTTCAGTGCCAATTCTATGAATGAAGCGTTATGGATGAAACACCATACATAAGTACAAGAGCTATCCTAAGTCGTGAACACGTAAGTAAGCCCTTCATTTGGAATCTAAAAGGAAGAACGTTTGCATCTATTCCATGTTCAGAGTCTAATCTTTGCGACAAATGACTATTCTCCCCCCGCGGATTCTACCAATTGTTTTTACAGCACTGTACGTTGCATCCGGATTTCCCAACTTATGAACTACTAACGGATGAAGGGACTTTTACACTGGGAGGGGTTTTCAATGGGCTCAATACTCGTGTATTCAACAGAAAATCCACGTACTACACGTTACGTTCATTCTCAAAACACTTCGTTGAGAATGTTTGAGAGAGTATTGTGAAAAAAATTTCCTCGTAGGTCTATCTCCCCTACCAACGCGATTTAGTGATTCAATTTATCGTGTTTTTCTGAGAGATCGTGTTTTTACAGGAATTGCTGTAAAAAGTTCCGACTGTCATTCGTAATAAATGTAGTTTTAGCATGATCGTTCGTTAGCCCGTTTCAAAATGGTTGTTCACCTTACCCGAATACCAGTTTTGCAGGGCGATGGATTGGACAGATTTATCGAGCATCTGAAGATCATCAGTTATGAGACTCCAGTTGATTTCATTAAAGAATCTCGTTGTTCGACTATTATTGCGGCTGTAATCATACGCGAAATGCCTTTCACGTTTGGAACTATTGGAAAATCACTCCATCGACAGTACTAAGCATGTATTGCTATGAATGGTCGCAATTTTGAGCATTTGTTGTAAACATTGCTTTTGCAGCGATGTTACGAATAAACGATGTTATTCTTTTCATGTCTCATATTTTGTGTTCTTGCCTCAGTGTTTTACTTTCGTCTATACCTTCCTACACAAGAAATGCATGTTTTAATAAAATCTAATACACCTTCAAAATTTTTCCCATAACAGTAGAATCCCCCTGTGTATAAAATCTTGTTGTACCTTAGGTATATAAGTAATATAATCTTATATCTTGCGTTGAAAACCTTTAAACAGAAGATGGAAAAGTAGTAGTGGAAGAGTAAATATTATTGAAAAGTGTGATGTGCCCGCTTTTCTTTCCCTAATTGCTGGGGAAAAGGGGCCTAAATGGGTGGTCAAGCATTCTGACCTCTGTTCCCACGGC